TGTTCATTGATTTAATGTAAGTGGCTATTGTTCGGGACGAACAATACTAAGGAAGGGGCAGTGTTACGACAGCGGAAGTCACGTGACGCTAGTAACACTTCATAAGCTTCTAGAAAATTCATGTCCTTTCGTGAAGCCTCGAGTGTTTACTAGATGTGCGGTATTCTTGTATATAAGACCGCCAAGAAGTGATGGCAACAATGTAATGGAATTGAATTGCAGACAGAGATAGAGACGACAATTGAGTCAAGCGCATGGATCATTCATACGTTGTGAATTATGGTGTTTGTTTAAGTTATAGCATGACTGTGGAAATTAAGTGTATTGCAAAGTTGTATTCAGAAAGAATAAACTAGTTTTATTTAAGAAAAGACTTGTATCGCTAAAGTTTCTTCGGAAAGAATTTTTACGGAAAATTAACAAACGAACACAGAGGTGAAACAATTATACAGTTCTCTTCTTTTTGTCAAAAGTCAACCAAGGCCAGTTCAATTGCTTTAAAATTCAGTTGACAAGCTGAACTATTTTTATCGCAATAGTATCCATGTATAATTCACTTATGCTGTTGCGTGAGTTACCACAGTTGTATCCTGAACTTCCAATAATCGTCTGCTTTTTGTACTTCCAATAATTGTCTGCTCTTCGTACTTTCAACAATCATCTACCTGTTGTCAAAGTCCACACAAGTGGGTTCAATTAGTTTAGAACACCCTTTGACAAGACAAATTATTCTCCTTTTCTATTTCAAACTTTTAATCTCACTCTAACATATCAACCATTAGGCTATTCACATCCACCATGGTTGACTTTACATTTTCTAACTTTTCTCTGACAAGACTTCTCTTTCACATGACTTTACTTTTACTCTCTTTCCACTCGTCTGGTCCTAGCTGTTTATATGTTTATTGCTCAGGCCTTCTATAAATCTCCATAGCCTCCACATCAGTGGGTTGCAAACACAAAGTTCAATAGCCTCGACATCAATGAATTACAAACACAAAATTAATTATTCAATAATACTACCTACATTAAACAGTCTTTTATATGTGACAGATATGGTTTAAGAATCAATCTTCCATTGTGGGATTTGGTTAATGGAGAAAGTATTCCAATTCTCTAAATGAACTTCGAAGCGATTTAATTGACCTGCTCAACTTTTGAAGTTGAGGTATTTTTAATTTTTAGTTTCTAATTTTTCTTTCTTCTTTTCTTTTGCAGAATATCAAACAAAGTATGTTACACAAGAATAGTAAGAATAATTACTGTTGTTAGGATAATTTTTTCTAAATTCTTTTTTTTTCTTTAGTTTCAGGAAGTTATTACAGAGATAAACTTACAACTAGTAATATACCTATCACAAAGATAGGACTAAATTAGGTACCTTTACTAATTAAGCAAAGGTTGCAATGGGCTAAACAAAATGTTCCTACAATCAGGGTCAAACAAACAAAAAAAACAAGTTTATTATATATAACAACACAAGTAAGAAACATCAATAAAAAACAACAACTTTCAAATTACAAGAATACATATTTTATCACCTACAACAAACAATTCATAAACCCGTGCCTGGCCAGGACTAGGTACAAACGTTGATAAACAATAAAACATAAATCTCAGTGTGATTAGTTTCAATAAGTATTTTAGAAATCAAGAAAAAGAACTAGAAAAGAAAAAATAATGCACTAGGGGATAACACGACGTTTCAAAATTTAACCGTTTTTTAATATCAATTACAATATCGAGCAATAATTATTTCAACTATATATTGTGAACTAACCTATTTTCAAGGTCAAGGAAGTTTTTTATTTACTGGTTAGACCATGAGGTTACATCTCATGTGTCTAACTATTACCATAAATATACATAATATTTCACAATATTAATATCTGTATGTAACCGCTAGGGGAAGCTGGAGTCAATTTTATAATATGTCGTTCGTCTAAGTCGAGGCCCAAAAGAATGCTATTAATTGTTAGAAATACCGTCACCAAGAGTCGAAGGGTTAGGGTGTTATATTCCACAAGTAGGTAAAAGCGTTTTTTTTTCTTTTTTGTACAATATATTAAGTTACACTACTACGACGCACAGGTACTTACAGCAAATATTGGATATATAATTAACATTATGGTAATATATGCAGATTAGACAACGCCAGACTAATAGTAATGAAAAGTGACATATCTCATTAGCTTTTAATTATTTAACATTTTAAGTATATACCCATAAAGATGACCTATTTAAAACTTACAACTTTAATGAAAGTTTATATAATTTGTAATTTCATAATTTGTCATATTTTTCTGAAATCAACATTAGTTAAATATATGAGATCAAATGTAAACACTATTTTCATGCATTAATCTGCACATGTCTTGTACTACATCGGTAATATATGATCTACATGTAAAAAAAAAAGTTTTTTATAATTAAGTAACCTGACTTTGTTATGTCAACATTCAAAGGTGATATTTGGTCTTAATGACAGGGTGATATTGAGAGCCACTGTTTTAACGAGAATAATGTTAGATTATTAGTGAAATATCTTAAACTGGGTTTCACCAAGATGATAAATTTACAGTATCATGAGGAATTTTTTATTTTTTGTTTATTTACAAGAAGAGACTGGTTATGTACA